TTATTTCAAGTCTGGTGCAAAAACGCATGATCGCACCGGCTCGCCTGGTGCGTTCCAGCCTGTGTTTCATTTTGTAAGTATTACTCACTAATGCGCAAAATCCAATGGTTATCGGCAGTGCGAATAATATGCTGTGCCCATTGGATTTTACATCCTTTCTTGGTCACAATGATATCCTGCACGCCGCTCATCCAGCAGCTTTTTTCGTTGCAAAAGAATTAACGTTTGGGATGATTTCTTCTTGTCATTATTTATTTTTGCTGTTCTAACTGATATTCATAATTTGAATTTTGCATTTTTATGATTTCAGTTCAATCGCATGTCGCTGTTGACTGCAGTTGTGAACATCGCTTTGAAATCATTCCTTGAAAGCGTGCGATTGCAAACATTCTCCACCTTCGGACTGCAGCAAATTCAGGTTTGTTTAAGTCTATATTATTTAGATTTCCATAATTCTCCTGCTTTTACATAGTTTTATGGATTTGATTTTCATATCTGCACACAACTGATTTCCCTAATTAGCTGAATATAGAATGAAGTGAAATGGTGTATTTGTTTTCACGAACAAAAAAGGATGGGGGGAAGGGGAATTATGAAATTTTAGAAGGGAATAGAGTGGAGAGCAAGCAGACCATCAGGTGACGCAGCGTTAGAAAAAAGCAACTGGAACAATTGTCAGCGTTAGAAGTGAGCTACCTTAATCGTATTTGTCAAAGATCTCATGTACAAAGATCTCATGCATCACTTACAGTCGTTTGTTATTTGGATTTTCGAGACCAAAGTACATTCAGTTTTCTCTACTTAAAACAACTTTGGCTTTTTACTCAGATCGGCGACGATTACTTGAACGGTGAAGAAACGGTACTTGGATTTTGAATTTCTTGTGTACTTGGAGCACCGAGACTGTGGGTTATAGTTAATCAGTGCAAACATTTACTCCACTACTTGGGCAGGGGTTGCTAAAAGTGAGCTACCTTAATCGTATTTGTCAAAGATTTCATGTACAACAGACTATGCGTCAGCTGAGGACTGCTTTGGCTTGTTGCACTGCAGCATGTTACAAGAGATTACCGGACTTTTTTTAGGTAGACTGCTGCTTCCTGCAGCAAAATTTGTGGCGTTATACGTCGGACGAACAGGTAGCGCTTTCGCTGATTGATGAGATTGTTTCATCAGCGGTGCGTCGTTGTGTTGATCCGAAGCTTATGGAACCAACAACGGTCAAAACTATCTGCGGTCGCTGAAGCATACGAGAGATCTCAGGTGAAATGGAACTCGGTCCGATGTATTTGTATGATCTTTCTTGTACGTTCGGAAAAGCGGTTCTGCCAAATTTTCTGGTTAAACTTCTTCCCAGTTGGTAATTCCTTTTGGAGACGAAACGAATCGTCAGTAGATTGACCAAGTTAACTGGAAAAATGGGGTATTGTTCCCCGCCCAAGCGGGTATTAGT